AAAATAATTGAGAAAAAGTAAAGTATCCCCACTACATATGACATATGTTCTAACAAGGGAGTAGACCATGATGATATAGATGTACATTGGATTATGTTTGGAGTGATTGGGAGTTTTTTTGCAGCAAATGATGTATATGCTTTTATATACACAAAAAAACTCTCTGAAAATCTGGTGAAATGACAAGAGGAAACAGATTTTACTACATATAATCGGTGGATTTACTAAAAGTAATGGATTTACTTTACTAAACGCAAATAGAGTTTGCAAGTGAAGTTGCTTCAGAGCTTAGCAAATGAGGGGGGAGCTCTGCTGACTTCCATCATCCAATCATGGGCAAGCAAAAATTTAGTTTTTTTTCCTAGCATGCGATTGGGTAGTCTTTGAAAAGTGAAGCTTTACCTCATTTACTAAGCTCTGAAGCAACTTGCAAAGCGCACAGTCTATTGGCTCTAAAGTAGAACTAGATCTATTTTTTCATTTTGGATAGAGTATGTTTTCTCCACTCAGAAAAGCTACTCTGGAGCGCTTCACATACGTGAAACCCCTGTGTTATCTTGAATCCCACTATTACAGTAGAAAGGCAAAAGATCAGTTCAAGCAGCAGGCAAAAACCTTAGTGAATAAACAGGCTGAGGTCAGTTCAGGTGGAAGGCAGAAAGTTAGTCGATAGTTCAGGGGCAAGCAGCGGCATTGTCAATAAATAGGCTAGGGTCAGTTTTGGAACAGGCAAAGGCATGGTCAGTTTAGGCGGCAGGCAGAGGCATGGTCAAATAACAGGCCAGGGTCAGTTCAGGAGCAGGCAGAGGCATGAGGACTGTGAAGTCAGTATTACGATCACCATACTTCACTAATATTGTAGTGATGTATGGAAATGGCAAAAGTAGTCACCTATGCAAAGGCCTGGTTAGCAAAGACACTGGGGGACAATAATAACAGGTGTCTCATCTAACTCCCTTCTAGAGCACACTCGACATTTTATCTGTCTTTGGCCTGTTTTTCAGGGAGGGACTTTATCTGGAAAATGGCGTTCGTGGAGTCTGCTAACTGCATCTGAGTGAGTGCTTTCTGGTGGGCCTTCCTGGTACACTGCTTGTTCCCCAGCCTGCCAGTGATGTGGATAAGTGACTCATTCACACAGATGTTTTTTGGCCAGGATATTCAATTGAAAAAATTAAGAAGTAGCCAAATTTGATAAAGTTTATCATATCCACTATATTGTAGTGATGTATGGAAACTGCAAAAGCAGTCACCTATGCAAAGGCCTGGTTGGGAAGGATACTGGGGGACAATAATAACTGGTGTCTCATCTAACTCCCCTCTGGAGCACACCCAACATTTTTTCTGTCTTTGGCCTGTTTCTCAGGCAGGGACTTTATCTGGAAAATGGTGTTCGTGGAGTCTGCTTACTACATCTGAGTGAGTGCATTCTGGTGGGCCTTCTTGGTACACAAGGGCAATGAATTTCCTCTTGATATCTAAGAAAGGATTCAGGTCTTTCAGCGGATTTACAGTAGATCACATAGAAATGATAAATAGCCAAACTGAAAAGGTATATGGAGACTTTCTTGGACTAGTGGTGGGTTCTTCTTGTTGAAAGATAGGGCTGGATCATCTGATCATTCTGACTCCCCATGAACATATTGTACTCATGGACACATTTGGGTTTCTGGACTGGGCCCTTCCTTCCATGGATTTCCACGGAGATGTTGTTGTGGATTGAGGAAAGCATTTATATGTCTTGTTAGTCCCTCCACTTCATCACCAATACTTCTACATTCTGCAAACTCACCGACTCCCCTCTTTGTAGTCTTGTATTCACCAACCTTTGCAGGAAGCCCATTATTTTAGCTCTTACTGTGCCACATGCTAGTGTTTTCTTCCAGTAAAGATTGCAGAAAAGGGGCAGGCTGGTATAGTAGTTATCAATGTATAAGTTATAACAGTTTTTGATGGAAGGGAATACAAGATCCCAAACACCTTTTGCACTTGTTCCAATATAGTCTGGGCAATGCAGCTGGGTGTCCTTTGCTGCGTACACACAGAAGGCATACGTGTACCCCGTGGCTCTGTCACACAACTTGTACAGTTTCACCTTTTACTGGGATGAATTGCTTGTTGCCCAGCCTGCCAGTGAAGTGGATAAGTGACTCATCCACACAGATGTTTTTTGTCCAGGATATACAATTGAAAAAATTAAGAAGTAGCCAAATTTGATAAAGTTTATCATATCCAGGGTCATTTTGGGGAGAATACTGGGTGTGATCACTGAAATGGAGGAACCGCATGGAATGTCTTGTTCTTGGCATAATGGATGAATAAATGGGCATGTGATGGATGGGGTGGGGTAGACCAGTAAGAATATAATTATTTTTTTTAGTGAGCCTCATAGTAAATGTGAGGCCCAAAAAGATTTTACATTCCTCCACTGTTAACTATTTCCATTCATATGGACAGGCATACCTTAAATCTGGGTTGTTGGTGATAAGTTGTTGAGCATAAAGGTTGCAATGGTTCACAACTGAACGTAATAAGTCATCTGTGAAAAATAGATGTATAAAATCAATGGGTTAAAATTTTACATGTTGGCCTTTACACCAAGCTGTGCAGTAAAAGGGGAGATATTAGGTGCTCCTGAGTTAGGGGGAAGCCATAGAGGGTTTTGAAGTGCATATGGTAGATTGGCATGGGCCCTAACCCTTTGGGACTGGTGTGAAAACCCACTAGTACCTGGCCTTTCTTGCAGAAGTATTCAATTTCTGGTGAATGCCACTGCGCTATCGGTGATTGCCACTGCACTACTTGTGGTAGCCTGCTCCTCGCCAGAATGCCTATTTTGGTGGGCACATGTTCCTCCTCTGATTTCGTTACATGTCCACTACTTAACAACGGTTCGTATTCTGAATCAGAATCAAATACAGAGAGCTCCCCACTGCTCTTGTCAGTCATACTGAGGATTTGGTATGCCTCCTCGCTGGTAAAAAATTTTTTAGACATAATGGTCACTGTGGGTTATGGTGACACACTGCTGTGATGGGGACACTGGGACAGATGCAGCTGCACTGATAGGCACTGATGAGGATGTGCTGAGGTGCGCTACTGAGGCTGCATTGATGGGCGCTGACGAGATTGAATTGATGGGTGCTGATGAGGCTGCTCCAATGGGTGCTGATGAGGCTGCTCTGATGGGTGCTGATGAGGCTGCTCTGATGAATGCTGTTGAGGCTGCTCTGATGAGGCAGCACTGATGGGTACTGATGGGTGCTGATGAGGCTGCACTGATGGGTGCTGATGAGGCTGCACTGATGGATGTTAATGAGACTGCACTAATGGGTGCTAATGAGGCAAGCTCTGATGGGTGCTGATGAGGCTACATCGATGAGGCTGAACTAATGGATGCTACTGAGGCTGCATTTATGGGTGCTGATGAGGCTGCTCTGATGGGTGCTGATGTGCACTGATGAGGATGCACTGATGGACACTGATCAGACTGAACTGATAGCCACGATCAGGCTACACTAATGGGCACTGATGAAGTCACAGACCCTTCCCGATGAAGGGAAACACATACACAGGAAGACGTCAATAGACACCCTTTCAGAAATGGACAGTCGTGCTGTAGCCGTCATTCAGCTATAGCGCAGCCGACAAGTGGTTTAAGTAGTGTACTTCAGCTGGAGCACTAGACACATGGCAGCCATCTCCTGGGGCAGGGCAAAGTGACAATGCTAAGTCCTAGCTTGTACAACATTTTTATGCGTTCATTATGTTTTGTGTTTCTACATAAAGACCTCATAAAAAGATGTACACACTATAGGTTTAACCAGGCCTGGACTGAGGCAAATAATAGGTCATTTTAGACTGTACAGCCCCAAATCCCAAGGTCTGGTCACAAGTGCAACCTTTGCAACCCTGGTAGTTCTGCCACTGGTGGCAGTAGTTTTTCTATTTTTATTTTATTTTTTATTATTTTTTTACACTTTTATTCGTATTTATTTATTTTTTAACAATTTTATTTTTTACAGTTTTTATGGAGCCCTGTTGAGACATCAGGGGTCTATACCGACAGAGAAAGGAGATTGAGGACACAGCCCTCCATCTCCATCTCTGCAGCCTCAGCGGCACAAAATGAATAGACAAGAATAGCTCTGTACAGAGATTCCCAGTAATTAATAAACTGAAGCATATGAATAAACTATTAAAAATCTGCGCTGGTTCACAATATAGCAGTTACCACAAATTCTGATACAAGAATTAAACAAACACATATATATTGTTGTAGCGCTAAAAAGGAAAATTGATGTAATAGTGCAATCCCAGCTATTTACCATGTGAAACACAATATAACAATACTCAAACTGAAATATAGTAAACACAGTTTACTGTGCCTCACTTATGAACGGACAAAATCAGTGTTCAGCACCGATCACTGACTGTCCATTCAGACAAGGAAGGGGCCATTAAATTACATATTTACTGACCCCTTCCCCACTGTCCATCCTGACAGATCATCCACAGCAGCCGGCAGGAAGGGGGAACCTGACAGTGCTGCGGGGAGGAGGGTGGTTGGAAGAGAGCACACAGGGACCCGGAGAGAGCACAGGGGGACAAGGAGAAAGGATAGGGGCACATAGAGAGCACAGGGGGGCCAGGAGAGAGGACAGGGGCCTGGGGGCAGCAGAAAGAAGATGGATAGGAGCGAAGCTGACTGGCAACTATTGGCCCAGGGGGTAAGTACAACCCAGAGGCCCATTATTCAGCAACTCAGCCCCCCTCCTGGTCTCCCTCTTCCCTTCCTCCTCCCAACCCATATTCCAGGCTGAAGCTCCTCTCCAGGTACTCTCTGCTCACTGGACATGTCAGGCTGGACAGTGCCTGCTTCACCAGCTCCGGGTTCCCGAACTGCCCAGCAGGGTAAAAACACAAATTCAAGACAAAACACAGGGCTCAAACACATGTGAGTGTGTATGTATATATATATATATATATATATATATATATGTACACAAACAATCTTCCTCCTTGTCAACTTGAGATGGCTGTGCACAGTACCGCCATCCAGATCAGTGTGCTTACAGTGAAACACCCCCCCCCCTCGCCCCACCACGCAGTTAACCTTTTGATCGCCCCTCACATTAACTCCTTCCTGCCCAGTGCCATTTGTACACTGTCAGTGCTTTTTTTTTTTAGCACTGATCACTGTATTGGTGTCACTGGGGTGTCAGTAACACCAAGTTAGTTCCCACCCAGTGTCAGAATGTCTGCCGCAGTCCATCTAAAAGTCGCTGATCACTGCCATTACTAGTAGAAAAAAAAATCCCAATATCTATACCGCCATTTGTAAAAGCTGTAACGTTCACATAAACCAATTCATTTACATGTATTGGGAGTTTTTTTTTAGCAAAGACATGTCGCAGAATACATTTTGGCCTAAATTTATGACAAAATTTGATTTTTTTAAATGTTTTTACTAGACATGTTTAATAGCAAAAAGTCCAAAATATTGTTTTTTTTCTCAAAATTGGCGGTCTTTTTTTGCTTATAGCGCACAAAATAAAAAAACGCACAGGCGATCAAATACCACCGAAAGCTCAATTTGTGAGAAAAAAGGACATACAGTGAGGAACAGAAGTATTTGAACACCCTGCGATTTTGCAAGTTCTCCCACTTAGAAATCATGGAGGGGTCTGAAATTCACATTGTAGGTGCTCTCTGACAGACAGAATTTAAAAAAAAAATTCAGGAAATCACATTGTATGATTTTTAAAGAATGTATTTGTCTTGCTCTGCTGAACATAAGTATTTGAACACCTGAGAAAATCAGTGTTAATATTTTGGTACAGAAGCCTTTGTTTACAATTACAGAGGTCAAACGTTTCCTGTAGTTCTTGACCAGGTTTGCACACACTGCAACAGGGATTTTGGCCCACTCCTCCACACAGATCTCCTCTAGATCTGTCAGGTTTCGGGGCTGTCGCTGAGCAACACGGAGTTTCAGCTCCCTCCAAAGATGTCTATCTATTGGATTTAGGTCTAGAGAATGGCTAGGCCACTCCAGAACCTTGATATGCTTCTTACGGAGCCACTCCTTGGTTATCCTAGCTGTGTGCTTCGGGTCGTTGTCATGTTGGAAGACCCAGCCACAACCCATCTTCAATGCTCTGACTGAGGGAAGGAGGTTGTTGCACAAAATCTCACAATAAATGGCCCCATTCATCCTCTCCTTAATACAGTGCAGTTGTCCTCTCCCTTTGCAGAAAAGCACCCCCAAAGCATGATGTTACCACCCCCATGCTTCACAGTAGGGATGGTGTTCTTGGGATGCAACTCATCCTTCTTTTTTTCCTCCAAACACGACGAGTGAAGTTTAGACCAAAAAGTTCTACTTTGGTCTCATCTGACCACATGACTTTCTCCCATGCCTCCTCTGGATCATTCAGATGGTCATTGGCAAACTTCAGACGGGCCTGGACATGTCATGACTTGAGCAGGGGAACCTTCCGTGCAATGCATGATTTGAAACCATGACGGCATAGTGTTCTACCGACCGTGACCTTTGAAACTGTGGTCCCAGCTCTCTTCATGTCATTGACCAGCTCCTCCCTTTGTAGTTCTGGGCTGATGCCTCACCTTTCTTATCATCAGTGATACCCCACAAGGTGAGATCTTGCATGGAGCCCCAGTCCGAGGGAGACTGACAGTCGTCTTTAGCCTCTTCCATTTTCTAACAATTGCTCCAACAGTTGATCTATTTTCACCAAGCTGCTTGGCAATTGCTCCGTAGCCCTTTCCAGCCTTGTGGAGGTCCACAATTTTGTCTCTGGTGTCTTTTGACAGCTCTTTGGTCTTGCCCATGGTAGTAGTTGGCGTCTGACTGTGGGGTGGACAGGTGTCTTTAAAGAGCTCAGACAGGTGCTACTAAGTTAGATTAATGAGTGGAGTAGAGGTGGACTTTTTAAAGGCACAGTAACAGGTCTTTGAGAGCCAGAATTCTTGCTGTTTCTTAGGTGTTCAAATACTTATGTTCAGCAGTGCAAGACAAATACATTCTTTAAAAATCATACAATGTGATTTCCTGAAATTTTTTTTTTAAATTCTGTCTCTCAGAGTGGGAATGCACCTACAATGTGAATTTCAGACCCCTCCATGATTTCTAAGTGGAAGAACTTGCAAAATCGCAGGCTGTTCAAATACCTTCTATTCCTCACTGTAAATTTCATTTGGGGTGCAGTGTTGCATGACGACGCAATTGTCAGTTAAAGTAATGTAGCGCCGTATCGCAAAAAATGGCCTGGGCATGAAGGGGGGAGGACAAGTGGTTAAAGGGAAATTTCACCTTCTCCAGAAAAATGAAACTATTCTGGCCACATTCGTGAGCGTGATCACGTGGTTTCACTGACCAATGAGTGCTTGAGGTGAGCATTATGATGGCTACTGACTTGTGTGGCACTGTATTGTGCTGAATGGACTGCTACATGGGCAGCACAGCCACTATGTCTGGAAGGGGTGAACTTACCCTTTTAGATCAGGGGGTGCTGTGAACAGGCATCTTTTGACTAAAGCTAAACATATAGCTGAAAGCAATTTTTGTTTGTAGGTAATTGCTGTCTGTGTCCCCATTGGGGAGGTTCACCCTCTCTATTTGTTCTGTTTATCACCGACAGTAAAATGAAATCCCAAATTTCGGGTTGACACCTGAACAGGATTAGAGGAAATCTTCCAATGGTGACACTAGTTCTGGTGACAACAAAGGATTTGCTCACTTTGGAGGGATTTCCTCTCACTTCCTGTTTGGCTATGGGACAGGAAGTGAAGGGAAATCTCTCTAAGGGGGACACAGATGGCAAAAAAAAAACCCTTTTGGGATTATAACTCTAAAAAAAAAAGTTTGTGTTTAGGCCACATGCCCACTGAGCTGCTTTTAGGGGCATCTGGCGTTTTATTTTTTCCTGCCTCTAAACATTCCCCCTCCCCATGTTAGCCTAGGTGTCAATGCACATATAGGTGTTTAGAGGCAGAATAACAAAACACCCCCCCAGTGCATACAGGAGCTGCAGTATTTTGGCAGGAAAAAAAAAAACACTTGACATGTGTAAGGCTAGGTTCACATCTATGCAGGTTGCATTTGAGCCATTTCTGCATTTTGTTTTGCATTGCGTTTATGCTTCATTTTTTTTGTATTTTGCGGAGGGGGGGTTCTTTTTTTTTTTTCTTGTTGCTAGGTAGTTTTAAAACACAAAATGTAGCAAAAATGCACTACATGCTTTTCTGCAGCGTTTCCATTGAAGACTACAGAACCAAAAACGCAACTTTTTGCATTAAAAAAAGTCCCTGATCCTTCCCAAAAAACGCACTGGGTGAAAACGCGTAGATGTGAACACGTCCCATAGGAAATCATGTTAAATGGACTGTAGTGCGTTTCTGCAAAATGCTGCAGAAAACCCTTAGGTGTGAACCTAAGGTAAATGCATGTCAACACCTGGAGCGTCAACTGTTTGAGCGTTAATTTATTTTAACGACCAGAATAAAGTATTATTCTGGCCAATGAAATGAATCAACTCCCAAGCACTTGATGTGCCGAGAGGCATTTACATGCGTCAAGTGTTTTTCTGCCAAAACACTGCTGCCAGGAGGACAGGTGGCACACGCCATTTGTGAGTGAGGCCTAAGAGCCCATTCACACTTGTGCAACTTGTCATGCGACTTTGTGGTCCAAAGTTGCATGACAGGTCACCCCCCCCATTTTCCAATGGGTACCATTCATATATGTGCAACTTTAAGTGGCAGCGACTTCAAAGTACAGGCATACCTCAGTTCACTAATGTAATTCGTTCTGCGGGACTTTTCGTATAGCGCAAAATTCGTAAACCGAAACGCCGTTTCCCATAGGAATGCATTAAAAACGAACTAATCTGTTCCGGAGGTCAGAAAAAGTAAACGCTACTAAAATACCGCATGAGTTATTTTATCAAGTCATGCGGTATTTTAGTAGTGACAACCATGTGTTAATGTTGCAGCTGTCAGCGGAGTTCTCCACTGACAGCTGAATGTAAAAGAATTGCCAGCAATTAAAAAAATAAATAAATGGGGTACTCCAACGCCAAACTTTAAAAAAAAATGGCATGGGGTTTCCCCCCAAAATCCATACCAGACCCTTATCCAAGCATTCAGCCTGGTTGGTCAGGAAAGGGGGGGGACGAGCAAGCGCCCCCCCTCCTGTACCATTCCAGGCCACATGCCCTCAACATGGGGGGTGCTTTGAGGCAGGGGGGCTCCCCCCAAAGCACCTTGTCCCCATGTTGATGGAGACAAGGGCCTCTTCCCCACAACCCTGGCCGGTGGCTGTGAGGGTCTGCGGGCAGGGGGCTTAAAAAAAGTCTCCGTTTCCGACAATGGCTCCCGCCGTTCACCTGCTTCGGTGGTTTGACAGTTCTTAAATATGTAAGGTGCGGGGCCACCTGGGGACATCACCCGAGTGACCCTGACCCATGTGGCATCATTAATGTCACATGGGGTGGGGTCTCATGCTTGATGTCTCAGGGTGCCCCCGCACCTTACATATTTAAGAACTATCAAACCACCGGAGCAGGCGAACGGCGGGAGCCATCGTCGGAAGCGGAGACTTTTTTTATTATTCTTTTTTTCAGGTCGGCGGCAGGCATCGTGATTGATGTTGGATCTACTGCGGGGAACATTGTTTTAGTTTTTTTTTCTTTTAATAAAGGACTTGTCAAAGACCGTGTCCTGTCTTATTTCACACTACACTTTTTGATTTTTGTGAATGAGTAACAGGACCATGCACCCCATACTTATTCACATAGGGGGGGCCAGGATCTGGGGGCCCCCTTGTTAAAGAGGGCTTCCAGATTACGATAAGCCCCCCGCCCGCAGACCCCCACAACCACCGGCCAGGGTTGTGGAGAAGAGACCCTTTTCCCCATCAACATGGGGACAAGGTGCTTTTGGGGGGGGAGCCCCCCTGACCCAAAGCACCCCCCCATGTTGGCCATGTGGCCTGGTCTGGTTCAGGGGGGGGGCACTCACTCAT